CGCGCGCAGCGCGGCGAGCTTGGGCTGGATGCCCGGGCGGAGGCTGGGGGTGGCAACGGGTTAGCGTGGGGTAGCGTTAGCGGGGAGGGGGGTGGGGCGGGGAGGGACGAAACAAAGCACCCCCTCCAAACAAAACGGTGGGGGAGGGAGCGGGAGTGAGTGAGTACGCGAGTACGCGAGTACGCGAGTACGTAGGGAGGAGTGAGTGAGTGAGGACGCCAGGACGGAGCAAGTGAGTGAGTACGTGGGTTCGCGGGTGGGGCAGCGGGGGGGAGTGAGTAAAGAAAACGCATAAAAACTCACATATCCCTCCCCACCCGCTCCGCGTCCACGCCCACGGGACAGTGCGCGACCGCCGCGACGTGCCCCTCCGCGTCGATCCCGCGCGGGGTGGATTCGTATCTGTGTTGCGTAATGGTTAGCGATAGTGAGCGGTGGAAAATCGAGCGAGCCAGCCAGCGAATGAAAAAGCGGAGCAGAGGCCCACGTCCCCGTCCCCGTCCCCGCGCGCCCCTCCCCCCCCTCTCTCCACCCCCTTCCCCCTCCACCCCCCACGTCCCCGCGCGCCCCTCCCCCTCCGCCCCCCACACAACCCCCCCCCCAAAAAAAAAACAATAATAATAATAACAAAAACAAAATTCGAAACACAAAAAAACGCACCCACAAACCCTCACACACGTGCTGATAAAGTGGCGGCTGTACGAGTAGGTCTGGAAGCAGACGAGGTCGGCGGCGACCATGCCGCGGAGGAGCTCGAGGCGGCCTGCGGGGTAGCGAGCGTTAGCGAGCGGAAAGGTTAGTGGAAGGGGAAAGAGAGGGAAGAGGAGGGAGGAGGGAAGAGGAGGAGGGGGGGAGAAGGAGGGGAAGGGGGGGGGGGTGCACGAGCGGAGGTAAGTGGGGTGCAAGCGTGTAAGCGAAGGAGAGTCAGACGGGAATTGCGTTCGCTAGCTCACACCGCGCACGGGCAAGCCGACGACGGCGCGAATGTGCGGGGCGTCGGGTGTTGACGCGGGGGTTGTGCCGCCGCCATCAAAGGCACGGACGTGGACGCGGACAGGGCGCACGGAGATGCAAGGACGAACAAGACGCACACCGGGCCACCGCTCGAGGACGCGGGAAGGCCAGTACGGAAGAACGCGTACGTGAGAGGCCGCCGTCATGCTGTCGACACGCATGCACGTCCTGCCACGCTCGCAAGCAAAAGAAACACAGAAAGAAAACCGGAGCAGACCCCAAAAAAGCACGCAAAGAAAACTCACGCGGCAGACACCGAAAGACCTCGCTGCTCGGGAACGGCGTGTGCACGAACAGGCCGATCACAAGCGAGGCGTCGGGGATGAGCGCGCGGAGGAGGCGCGGGAGGAGCAGGAGGTGGTAGTCGTGTATGTAGATGAGGTCGCCGGGCCGCCACACGGCCTTGATGCGCTCCGCAAACGCCTGGTTCGCGGCCGCGTATGCGGCGTAGTGCGCCTCCTGCGACGTGTCCTCCGAGGCGATGTCCTGCCAGAGGAGGTAGTGGAAGAGCGGCCACAGCGCTGGGGGCGGGGGTCAGCAGGGTGCAGGATGGATGGGAGGGGGGAGGCACGGACTCTGTTTGCAGTACCCGTCGTAGTGGCCGTGGGCGACCGCGTCCTCGAGCCACACCGGGACATACACCGTCTTGCGATCGTCGTCCGGGTCGGACTCCTTGGGCTGGTACGTCCCGAGCGCGTCCTCGAGCGCCTTGCGGTCCGCCTCGCTGACACTCTCGCTGGGGATCGGCTGCGCAGGCGGGGCGCTGGGGGGCAGCGAGGCGGTGGAGGAGGAGAGCGAGGCGGGGGGCGGGGCGGCGAGGATGTCGCCCGTCCAGCCGATGATGAGCTGCTCGTGGGTGGCGGACAGCGAGCGGATGCCGCTGATCATGGCCGCGTGGCCGTACCGCGGGACGAGCGTCCACACGCCGTCCGCGTCGTCCTTGTCCTCGACGTCCTTATCGTCGGCTTCCGGCGGCGGGGTGAGGGGCGCATGGGTCGGATTGTGGGAGTTGAGGGTGGCCTGGACGGGGAGATAGTGGCAGACATGGAGGACGCGTCCGGAGAGCGGGATGCCGGCGGCGCGGTGGTCGGCCTCGAGGGCCCTGACCTGCGCGCGGACCTCGTCGAGCGAGATGTCGTCGCCGAGGCGGGTGTATGGTTCTGCAAAGCTGTCCATCCTCTACTTTCTTGTAATCGTCGTCTTGAAGAACTAATAAAGCACTCCTAGGCCAAGTTGAAACCACGGAAGCAGGAAGAACTAATAAAGGACCGCTCGATCGGGCAGCACCAACAAATCTTTCGCCATCCCGTCCAGATTGGGCAGAGGGCGTTGGTGATGCCAATCCATCGTCATCTGGATCGCCCGGCCCGGGTCTCGGTCCTGCCTCTTTGGGACACGGGCCTTCCTTTTCCGACGACGTTGAGCCGAGGTCCTTCCGCGAGCGTGCGTGCTTTCCTTCGAGTCCAGGGGCGCATGCTCGCTGCCAGAAATCAACGTTACAAGCAGGATGCCACCGTGCGCTTGTGTCCACGTTCAACGATCCGCGCAGTCAACGCAGCCAAGCCGCGCATCTGTTGCTTCCACCCCCACCCGAGTACCCGCAGAGACCGTCCCTCGGCCAACTACTCCAGCGACGACAACCAAGTCCCAGCGTCCATGTCTCACCTCCGCTTGAAAGTTGGGCGCGATTGAACCAAACTTTGAGTCCCCATTTTCGCCACGGAAGCGAGACACTGCGCGGCAACTCTCTGACACTGCTCGTTCCAAATCCCACTCTTCATGGCCTCAACGCCTCCACTTGCCGGCGCCAAGGCACCAAATACCATCTAGGCTGCGCTTCCGACGCCAGCCAAAATCGTTCAGATCCGCCTGCCTCCTCCTGCATGCACCACTGACACTACCCACTCTGCGCCCTTCTTTGAACGCTCAAGTGCCGGAGCTACTCATTTTTCCGGAAATATATATATACCCTCATCCTCTCAATCACCCGTCTCTTACTGCCGCGCCTCACCCTCACCCCCACCATCGCCACTTTCCTTCTGTCGGACAAGCACTTCCCAGCAGGTCCTACGTACCCACCGACCTGCGCCACCCGTGACCCCTCCGGTGGCATAATACTCAGTGACACGCCCAAGCCACAATGCACATCGACCGCGTACGTGCACCATGGCCATACTGGGAGATAGCGAGGCCGGCGGACGCGTCTGCAAGAATATACTCTATTAGCAGGAATACTCCTCCGTGCGCCGCACCGGGTGGACCCTGGACCCTGGCTCCCGCAGCAACATGGCGTGCTCTAGCTCTCGGGTGTGTCTGTCCGCTCAGATGCCCGCGAGACGAGATGGGGCTGGGGTGCAGCGCCTGCGCCTCGGCGATACTGATACTCGCGTCTCATCCCTTGAGCTTGAACTTGAACGTACCTCCATCCAGCCTCCAGGTGCGCGTCTCGGTGAACGGCAGGAAGGCGACGAACCTCGGATTGCCGTCAAAGTCCAAGTCGAAGTCGAGGTCGAGGTCGAAGTGCAAGTTGGAGCGCGAGCTTACCCAGAGACGGCGAAGTTCGTGTCGGTGAATGCGAGGTTGAAGCACACTGCGAGGGCCGCAGGCAAGCTCACCGAAGCGGGGATGGAATCGGGCGTGAACGGAACTCACGAAACTGAAACCCCCCACGGTTGCATCATCATATCTTCACCAGCAGATTCGGACAGTCAGTCCTACGCGAACCTCCGACTCAGTTGGGATCCCGATTGCATGCCACTCGGCCGACTGAGGAAGTTCAAGTCGGAGCAGGCGGGCGGTGTCCGGCCATCATGATGTGTAGCGACCTTGCAGTGGGTTGGCGGAGAGAGCTTGAGGCTTGACAGAGAGTGGAAGGCTGCAGGCGGGATGTACGGTTACGATGGAAGTCGTACGTACCGCGATGAATTTCGAAACACCAGCAGTCCGGATCGTCTCAGGCAAACGAGTCCACCATGCTGGAACTTTCAGTGCAGGGGCAGCGGTCGTTCGTTTCATTGACTTGGTGAATTATTCTCAGTGCCTGAGGGGCGAAGAATGATTTTGTTGCACCCATGCAAATCGTCGTGATTCTTTGCGAAATGAGACGCGGGTAACCCTAGAAAGTCGTGATCTATTCAAGTCGTCCATCCCCTAGCCCGTTTCCTTTCATTTCGAGATATTACTTAGTAATCCAGACTCACGGCTACTGAGCACCATGAATTCCAGTCACACCCGTATGGGCCGGTGCCGCGAACGTACCAAGCCAGGACGCCGAGGTCGAAAGCAAGCTAAACTCATCAGTAAAAATAAAAATAAATCAACATCGCCGAGATGCCCGAAAGGGTGTAGGGTGTATAATTTATGAAATCGGCGATGTCTCTGGACCGTCGGCTTTTACGCTAAACTACCACATCGCCGAAGCACTCGAAACCGTCCGCATCTTTTTTTTTTTTTTTTTTCTGCGCGATTCGAACCCATGGCCACTGACTTCGAAATTCAACCTCACTCAACGCGTCCAAAAAACCGAGTAACCGTCCTGCGTCCTGCGCACTGCGCACCGCAACTCGGGGTCGCCGAACTGCTTCAACCCAAGACCGTGGCGCCGAGGTTGAAAGCAAGCTAACCTTATCAGTAAAAAAAAAAAAAAAAAAATCAACATCGCCGAGATGCCCGAAAGGGTGTAATGTAGGGTGTATAATTTATAAAATGGGCGATATCTCTGGAGTCTGGGCCGTCGTCGGCTTTACGCCAAACTACCAGATCCCCGATATAAGCATTCGAAATTGTGCGTATGTGCGAATCGAACCCATGCCCACTCCCTGCATTTTGCCACCCGAAATCGAAATTCACCCTCAATCAACGCGTCCAAAAAACCGAGTAACCGTCCTGCGCACTGCGCACCGCACCTCGGGGTTATTGAATTCCGACCCACCGCAAATTCGAAAAAAAAACGCCACAAAGCCAAAAAAAAATCTCGTAAACACGTATAGCAGCAACTCGTTTCGATCGAGTGACCTCGGGGTACCCCATTACGTAATGGTCTTACGTAACGATATGGGCCCCGCGCGCTTCCATCTGCGCCATGCTGCTGTTAAGGCACTTTAGAATGATGTGGACAAGTGAGGGGAACGACGTTTGTGAGTGAGCGGAAGATATGAATGAAATTGAACATTTTGAACAGTTAGCCCAAATTGAGCAAATGCAAATAGGCGGTTGTAACTTATAACAGGCGGGGCGGAGCAATGCGCCCGCGCGCTTCCATCTGCGCTGTGAGACTGCTGTTGTGTGAAGGGCAGACGGAGCCATGGTTGAAACTTCGCCTTTGCTCGTTTAGTGCCGAAAAAAAAAAAATCGAACTGGTGGCAAACAAGAACAAACAAACAAACAAACAAATTCGTTCTGTTTTGTTTTTGTGTTGCTTACCTTGAGCCCGCGCGCCATGTTGTTGTGCGGAGGGTGGGGGGAGCCAGGGTCGAATGGAATGGGAGTCATGTTGGATGGCCGAATTGAACTTGCAAACAAGGTATGCCGTTGCTTATTCTCCAGCGTTCCATTTTGGAAGAAAAAAGAAGAAGAAACCACTGCCGGGATCATTCTGTTCTCCGGCCGGGAGAAAGGGCCGGGATAACTTAACTAAGCTCCGGCCAAAATTCTCCCAACAAAGGAGAATTTTACGGGATTTTCTTTGTTTCTCCCGTCAGGAGGACAAAGACTTTTCCAGCCTGGAGAAAGTCACATTATTCTCCAGGTGGAAGAATCAGATATTCTCCCGACTGGAGAATTTTCGGATGCCCGGTCCGGTCACCTTTGGCGGGCGTTGGGAGAATTTCTCTTTCTACCCTTTGGAGAATGTCACACTATTCTCCAAACGGGAGAAACTAGACTTTTCCTTTCTGGAAAAACTAACATTCTCCCACCCAATTCTCCACTTCTTGGAGAATTTTGGCCGGAGCTTAGTTAAGTAATCCCAAGCCGTTCTCCCGGCGGGAGAACAAATTGATCCCCGCAGTGAACGTAGTTCTTACCTCGTAGCGGCTCCCAGTCGGCATTTAGACTCGGCGTCCAAATTTAGATCGCGTACGGAAGGAAGGTGCAAGATTTCGATTCGGGCTTTCTTTGAACTTTGCGTAGACCTCAAACTCGGCGGCCATAAGCCTTATACTGGACGTGGTCGAGGTAGGATCACACTCTTCTGTCAGCTTGAGGTTCAAAGATTCGAAGTATTGTGTAGCTGGATAGGTTTGTGTGATAGGGCCGGAAGGAAGAAGCAATATCATTCCACCGAGTGGTTCCGTTGAGCGCAACATTCATTTCACAGGAATGAAAGTGATATATCTTGAAAGGAAAAAAGCCTCCCGAAAGAACTGACAACCACAATCGGGATGTCGGGTGGAGTGTGCATCGCTAGACAAGTTTCGGCGATCTCGGCGATGTTCAATAACGGTTGTGGATGCGGGCCGCTGTCGCAAATCATCCACAGCGGCGTTGCTTGTGTGGATGTACTTTAAGCGACGAGACCTTCGACTGGATTCAAAGAACACAAAGAAGCCGCTATTGAGAATTGCGGGGCGGATTCCTCCAGTGTTCTAGAAGTCACGAGGGTTACATGTTGCCGTACAAATTGTTAGTGTGGTTGGCAGAATTCTGCCGAACTGCCAAATGGCAGGGCAGAATGGCAGGCAGAACGGCAGAATTGAGAGGCGTCCGGCAGAATATGGCAGAGGATGTCCGGGCCGGCCGCCGTTGTTGTGCCGATGGTTGAATTCCCGCGGTTTTCTGTGTTGTTAACTTGTTTCACACATCTTGACATCGTTTTTCACTTACTGGTGTGCACACAAAAGTCCATGGAACAAGCAGACATATTTCACTCCCTCATTGGTGTTTGGGCGGACAGCTTTGCAGTCATAAACCATCAATTGCAACCGAGAAAACGGTCAATTTGTACGAAACCAGATTGTGTTGATGGCAGAGAGAAGGAAGAAGTGGTAAGAGAGGTCATCAAGGCAGATGGAGCGCTGAAGATGTGGTTTAGGAAGTAAAAATATGTTTACTGACCATTATAACACTGCTATATTCTGCCATATTCTGCCGCTATTCTGCCCAGCCATTCTGCCATTCTGCCTGGCAGTTTGAGCCAAAATTTATTCTGCCCCCCGCACTACGTACAATAACTAGAAACGGGCGCTTACGGAGTATGGGCGAGTCGAGGAAATCCCGCGACGAAAGTCACGATCAGTTTCGTTTCTGGCAATTTTGTATTTTCCCGAGCACGTGTTACCTGACGTAGAACAAGTACAGGTTTGGTCTCCCTAAATTCGAGCACACAAAGAATGGGATAGAACTGTCGAGCATTGTCACTTCCCAAGTAAACGCACAGTAGATTGGATCCGGTTCGATTCAAACTGCGCATTTGAGGTGCCCAGCGATCCAACATCGGAAAGATGCAAGTTGCAACTACATACAATCAGAAAAGAACCTTGAGTGAACTTGACGGCGAGTAAGATTAGCCGCGAAGCGAGCACGGAATCCGATAAGTACAGGTGAAGTTGATTCGGCTCTGAAGGATCCGGGATGAAACAGTCGAAGATACCAATGACTGTACACAAAGAACATCCAGTGAACGGAAGCAGCTAGCATTGCTAATGCGTTCAGGAGGACATGTCAACATTCATTTGAATAGCCAGAGACGCGGAGAAACTGAGATCTGAAAGCATGCTTAGTCACAGTTCATGGAAATGGGAAAGTGATTTTACCGTTCTGCAAATCTTGTAAGGAAAAGGAGCTCAAGGCTCGGACGCCGGCTACAATCGTTGGCTCAGTACCGACATAGACTCCGTACTCATTGTGCGCTGAAAAATATTGTGTAATGAGTATTTGATGAGTATTTAATGAACTGCAGTGAAGTGTCGCCTTCCAGTTCCTCTGCGCCAGTTCTCCTGCCGCAACACCTTCTAGTGAATAAAATCATACCCATGGTTCGTACCCGCTCGAGGCGGATTCCATCGCAGCTGCCATGTCCTTTATCCCCCGCCGACGCGACATCGCGAGGAACGCCGCATAAAACTCATCCGCGTCAGGCCCAATAACCAGCGCCTGAATGCGCTCCCGGAGGGTGTCGTTGAGCCCCGGAGGGCGCGGCCCTTCAATATCCGGTTCCAAACCCCTGGGCGCAAAAATCGCGAAATGGCGCAAGCCCCGGAGACTCAGCAGGCCGCGGCCCCACACGCTGTCGAGCGCAACGCCATGCGGATTGTTCGCTGAGGGGTGCTTGAGGAGTCTGTCCGCCTCGAGTTCGAATATCAGGGACTCGAGGTTCATGGCGTTGAGGAGGGCAAAGATGTGGTTCCACCAGGGGGAGAAAAACCGGTGGGGGTTGTGGTAGAGGCGCTCATGGGGAGTGTGGCAGAGGTAAACGCTGCGGATATCGGGGAGGGTTTCTCGCCGGAAGGCAATGGTGACGACCGACTCGAACTCATGGATCGCGATGTGGAAGGTGTTACACCGATGGAGGATTGGCAGCGCTTCGAGGTACACCTGGTGGCATGAGAGGAGGATTGCTATGGGGATTGCGTCGGCGGGGACATCGAGGTAGTTGGGCATGTTGTCTGGGTCGTCGACGAGCTCGTAGCAGGCTGACTTGACGACTGACACATGGTGATATCGGTAGGTAGATGGGTAATATGTGGATCGCCGACCAAGGGTGAGTCTGACTAGCCGCCCGCCAAGGGCATGTCTGTAGATGTTTCGTCGCAACTCTAGAGGGAGCTGGAAGAAGCAAGAGCTTTCAGGCTGCTCAGCGAGCGGCTGCTGGCCAATGTCGATCCGTGGTGTACTAGGAGCGGGGGGATATGCATCTGCTTGACTTGGCTTTCGAGTTTGAGTTTGGGGCTGGTACCGTCTTTGCTTCGAAATTCCTCTCGTTGGTATGTGCGAAATGCACGCGGAGAGATAGTAGACTGGAAGGAAGATAACAAGGCATGCATATTCCAATAGAGTGGCCATGGACAAGAGACTCTTAGAGCCTCAGTGTAGTTGAATGCTGTTGAAAGAAAGACACTTAGAAAGCTGTACATACCTGTGTGAAACACGGACACGGTGACTTGACCTGACTTGACGTGACGCAAATGACACGCTCTAACTCTCCATCACGTTCGAAATCCGTGACCTATCTCTTCGTGAGAATCATTTGCCGCCGAGACTTTCAGAATCGATGGTACTCCCACTCAAGTTTCCTCCGAACAATTTGGGTTTCTGCGCCATACAAAATCTTACTAATAAACAAGAGGACATGTTGAAGGCTTCCCCTTCCCTGAATGACCTTGTCGAACCATGGGAATGCGAGTTGATGTGAGTCGTCAATGGAAGCCAACGGGCGCGGCGTAACGAGTTTATGCCAGGGATTATTAAAGAGCGAGTGATCTGAACCGCGTTGATTCAATGATTGTGCATATATCAAGAAGCGAGTTCCGAGCGTCGTCGGTTGAAGTGTCTGTCTACGAGAGACTAGATTGTGCAAGCTCTTGAACTGGTCAACGTTCACGGCTTGAGATCTCACGATCCATTCCTTTTTCGAGACACAATTGATTCATTGTTGCAGTGCACGTCAACACATTCCTTTGTTTACAGGTGCCACCTTTCAAATCGTGAGTTGCTCCGAGTCCTTGAAACGAGCTTCAATCTCGGCGGCCTTGCGTTTGGTAACTTCTTCATCGGTCTCACTTCGGTCTCGGAGGCGGACCTCCTTGGACTCGATCGCGTTATGCGTAGTACCAAGATAGAAGTTGGTGGTAAAGCAAGCCGCAAGGATGGAAAGGGTGGAGAGACATAGAGCGGGAAGGAAGAGGTAGTAGGCGGTGTCGTCGTATGCTATCGAAAACGGCTTAGCTCAAGCCAGTCTACCCGTCAAAACCCAACGCACCTTTGATGACGAGGTCGCGAGGCTCGGCCAAACGGGCAACAATAATGGAGCCATAGATTTCAGCGATCTCGGTGGAATTGAGAGTGTCCCCAAGATATTTATCGAGATTCTGGGGCAGTTTTACGGTCCAAATAGCTGCAGAAATGGCATTTCCCATGGCACTGCCGAGATA